CCTCGCTCTTCGTAGAGTCGTGGAATCACAGCATCAGCCAGCTTGGAAAAAGATCTCCGAGGTCACCGAGTCCAACCCTTGATCCAAAACTGCCGTGCCACATCCAGTCTCATCTTAAAAACCTCCAGGGAGGGTGTGAATCCTCCCCCTCCCTGGGCAGCCCGTTCCGATGTCTGATTGCTCTCTCTGTAAAAAAATTTTCCTTCCTGATATCCAACCTAAACCTCCCCTGGCGGAGCTTAAGACCGTAATTTCTCTCTAACGTTTAATCAAAACCCACCCTTCCTGAAGTCCCACTGATGTTTCCTTCAGGAGCTCAGAGCCCGAGTGGAGCTGCTCCTCCAACAATAACACTGGCAGAAATTAGAACAGGATAGAATGACAGCTCAGTGTGTAGAACCGGAATGCAATCTCCAGCTTTGATTGCAGCCTTAACCTAATTCAACAATATTTGTTTTAACCTTTCCTGCTCTCAGACCTGCTGCTCTGTGACTCAGTTGTTTTGTCCCGTGGCTCTCAGTCCATCCTACACCTGCTTTCAGTTCCTGCAAACTCGGCTTAGCTTTTCATTTCTTATTTTTAGTGACCTGGCCATGTTTTACACTGCTCCTCTGCCTCCTGCCCTCCTCTCCCATTGGTGATGCACATGGCAGCCCAGTCACTGAGGACAGTGAGCCAGAAAGCCACAGAATTACAGAATGGTTGGGAAGTAACCTCTGGAGATCTGCTAAAGCAGGTTCACCTGGAGCAGGTTACATAGGGTTGTGTCCAGGTTGGTTTTGAATATCTCCAGAGAAGGGGAGTTCCAGAGAAGTCCTGCCTGCTCCTCCCTTCTGAGCAGGGCTTCTCTGATACTGGAGAGAGCAGAGCTTTCAGTCACTCCACTCCTGAAGTCCCCATCTAGCTAAAGGTAAGTCCATCAGGTGGAACCACTTCCTAGACTGAGCCTTGAGGAACATCCCTTGGGCCCTTCTGCAGCCCTGGGTGAGATGAGACCCAAGCTCCCTGGAAGGTGCTGAGCAGGCAGGTGATATTTCCAAAATCTCTGCAGAGACAAGGAGCACAGTTCTGTTCTGTATGACTGGAGTTCACCTGCCCAGGTGAGGCCATGCCCAGACCACAGGCCAGGTCTGCAGAGAGTCCTAGAGATGAAAATCACTGTATCAATGAAAAATACTATTATAGCTTGCTCTAGTGCGTAAGCAGAGAAAGCACTTGGGGTTGTAGGCAGGAACACTACCACAAATGGCTGCAAAATAAAGTTCCCTCTTCTCCTTCCCCAGCTGTGTTTACTCCAGAGGGACATTGTTTGTGGAAGATGGCAGCAGGGGATTAGCTATGCTGGAGCCTTGCTTTTGGGGATGGGGAAGGCTGGGGGCTCCTCCAGCCCTGTGCTGTCACACTGCCACCCAGCCAGGTGACATCAAACAGCCCAGGGGAGCAAAAAGCCCTGAAAGCAGGGGATGCAACCTGTGCTGGCACTGCTTAGTGAATGTAGGACATGCTACAGGCTCACTGCTCCACTGGGGAATGTCACCAGCCTCCCTTGTCACCAGCCTTTGCCATGAGAGCAGTGATGGAATTTCTGCCCCAAAGCCAAGTAGGCATTGAGAAAACAGTAGTTTTGGGTATGTGCACTGCAGCAGAGCCCGTGGGAAAAGCCCAGGGCTTGGCTGGGGAGGAAAGTTCATCAACATGTTCTCTTTTATTAAGTACCACCTTTCAGGGATGCCCTGACTGCATCCATACGGTACAGACAAAGCCCATTAACCACAGCTAAGTGGCAAAAATATTCTTTAGAAAATAGTGACTGGCAGGGGAAAGCAAGTGTTAGCTGCCAAGCACCACTCAGGGCTTCCAGGAACCTGTGGGATGGAGCAGCAGGAATAAGCAGCAGGTATTCTTTGCACTAAAATTTGTGATTTCCAAAAAGGGAAAACATTCCAAGCTACTTTGAAAGCGATGAATTTGGTTAAAAGCCTCCTGGGTGTGCACAAAATGGTCCAGTGTGCAAATTAGCAACTGTTTGTGAAACTGCTTCTGGGCGAGGTGGGCTCTGGCTCACATGGACCATTTCACTTCCACATCACAGGCTTTCTTTAGCAGCCACCTGAAAAATATCTATTTTGCCTGGATAATGATTCACAGCATCACATATTTGAGGTCTGACTTCTGGTTCAAAGCATCCACAACAGGGATGGCCCCAGTGTGAACAGATAGTGCTTTCTAATAGTCTTTTGTGGGCACAGCCCTGCTCAATGTGTCATGTACACTGGGAGGACAGAGGTCAATTAGAGCATTTATTTGAGATTAGAGGAAATTACAGGGTAAAAAAAAAAAAATAGCATGTGGGTAATTATCTGCTGGGAGGAGCGTTGATAGCAAAGGTCAGAAAGAGGCAAATGGGGCTGAACTGGCCCCATCGACTGGGAATGGTGCAGTAAGGGGTTTTTTGATGTTTTTTTTCCTGCTTAGCAAATACATGTGTGCTGCAGACTCAGCTCTTTCCAGGAGTGTCAGCACAGTGCATTCATTGCACACAAGTGTGTTGCAGAGCCTTAGAAATACGGATTGGGCTGATTTTAATTGACCTGACCCTGATCCACTTTATCCATCTTTACCACTGGCTTAATCGGGTGGTTGCAATAGCTGCTGTGCTCTTGGTATTAAATCAATGTTTCCCTTTGAGAACACCACATCTCCCTGCAGCCAGGAGGCTCAAGAAGAACAAGTCTGTTATTTAATGGTGACTTCCCACCTGGGAAACCAGAGGGGCACAAACAGGGACCTGTCTGGCCAAGCACAAGGCAGCACATGGGGATCCTCTGGGACCATCCTTGGGGGAAAGCTACTGCTCATCTGCACAGCCTGCCATGGCTCTGGTCTCTGATTGTTTATCTTTTGTATTTTTGGGAAAATTCCAGGCAGCAAAGTAGGGGTAAAACTGATCTTGGAAGCTATTCCAATGCTTATTTCCCAGGAGCTATATTTAAGCCTGTTCCCTTTCTCTTGCCCCCACAAGTTAATACCAGCTGTGTGTCAGGGTTGCTGACACCTGCAAACAGCTTTCCAAAAATACTAAAAAGTGTGCTTATGTTGGGCTTAGATCTTAAAAAACACCCTTTTCTATTTTGGTTGGGGTGGAGGTTTTTTGTTGTTTTGTTTTACCAGATACCAAAGAGTGTCACATGACAGCCCATTCTAAGTGGCTAATGGAGGAAAAAGTGTTTAGATTAATTAATTCTACCAGTAAGATAGTGTAAATGCCACTGACATGTATAAATGTGACATACTGCTAAACTGGTCGATTTTGCAGGAGGAGACATTCTCAGCCCAAACATCCATTGCTTCTGCAAAATTTTTGTTTTTGAGACAAAGCCCTAACTTAACTCAGCAATTCTCATTTCACTTCTGCAGCTTCTCTGCAGGGCAGGGAAAACCTCTGCCCCGGGGTGAGCCACCACTGGAGTCACTGGTGGGAACTCAGCTGTGACCCATTTGGTCCCTGCTGGGGATCACGGGATCCTGTGGTCAATGGGAAGGGCAAAAACCCTGCTGAGGATCCACCCCGCTCCCCAAAGGGACTTCATTTCCCCTCTGCTCTCAAAGAAGCTGGAAACAGACCCAACACTGGCCTCCAAAAGCTGAAGCAGGTCCTGCATCACGTCCCAGTCCCAGACAGACTTTCTCCCAGCTCTCCACCAGCAGGGAGCAGGTGACAGGCTTTTCCCAAGGACATCTGTGCGACTGCAGGGCCAAAAGCATCAGGACAAACACAGAGGGCCCACCGAGAAGCTCCTTGGAGGGCTGATGATTACCTGGGTACACCCAAGGGATGTCACTGGGCAGACCCTTCTGGGGGGCTCCTGCCTGGCACTGCTTGTGAGGAAACCACAACCTTCACACCACTAAAACAACACCAGCCTGAAAACAGAAAGAACCTCCACAGCAGAACTCCCCTGAGTCATACCCCAGGGCACAGATGAGGCTACCCTGTAAACAGGTTGCATTTTCCCATTTTGGGGCATTTTTGAGTGGCACAGAAATGCACCCCCAGCTGATGACATGCCCAGCATGGGCACATCCCAGGATGCAGCCACTGGGAAAGCCACGTGGGCTGCTGCAAGCCTGCCGTGCTGATCCCCTAACCCGATTAGGGCTGTAACATGGAGGGCCAATTTTCACCCTGCATCAGGCCACACTTATGTATTTCAGCTTATTCTGAACATCTCCTGGACCAAGAAGGCTGTCTGATATGAGCTGTAGGGAGATTGGGCTGCTCCAGAGCCCACAGGACAACAGCATAGCACATCTCTGAAAGTGATAAAGCAGAGAAACACAGTGTCACTGCTTTGGGCTGTGGGAAAGAGCAGAGGTCTAGATCTCGCAGCATTACAGACTAGGAAATGTCTCTAAGACCCACTCTGGAAGCTGTGGGATATCTAAGGATAAAGGCAGCCCCTCTCTCACCCAGCTCTTTGGGTCACAGGATGGACCCAGTGCCCCCAGGTGACAGGAGCACACAGTCCCTGCAGCACAGGGCAGCGGGAGCACCGCCCTGCCCTGCACCCCACCTGCCTTGTCAGCTTGTTTCACTGTTAAAATCCAGTGCTGAAGTTCAAGACCAAGGGTGGTATCACCACAAAAGGAAGCAGGATTCACCTTACCTTGCTCAGCTCCTCCTGGGCCCTTGGACTCTGGCTGCCCTTTGATTTCTCTTGTGGGTAAAGAGAAGGAGCCAACTCTGTCCTGTGGAAAGATGTGGCCCTGTCAAGAGGAGCTGAGAGAAATCTGAATCAGCCACGGCAGCTAAGACAGAAACCTCGCCAGGATGTGACTTCTGCCTGGGACAGGCCAACATCATGATGTGCCAAGACCAACCTGAGGAGACCAGGAGATGAGGGTGGGTGGGTGGGTTCAAGCCTGTGTCCCTGGCCAAGTGCACCCACCACCTTCACCACAACTGCTGATGCCTCAGGCACTGAGGAAAGGCTTTGTTGCTAGGGAATTACTGAACCTGCTGCTACTTGCAAGGTTGGAGCCACCTTCCCACCAGCAGTTGACTGGGATGATAAGAGGTCCCCCCTCCTGCCAGGGTCAGTGCTCAGACCTCCATCATGCATGACATGGGGCCCTCCTGGTCCCTGCACACTGGGGGACTCCAGCCCAAGTACACACCAGTCCCTCCCTGCCCTGAGCCTGATTTTCACAAAGGGAAACCCAGAGATGAGAGCAGCAGGTGAGCCAGGCGTGCTCCAGCATGTCCCAGTGGGTCCCCATGCCATGCTGGGGCAGGTCCCAGGCAGGTCCCTTATTGATGTCCATCAATGAGGAGGTGGGAACACATTCCTCTCATGTCATTCCTTAAATAAACACATCCCTGTTCCAGGCCAGGTGTAACAGGGCAGTTGACTCAGCAGTGCAGCTCTGTCACCCTGTTTGTCCAGGTCACTGCCCTCCTTGTAAACACCACACACCAAGAGACAAGATTTGCACCCAGATTCACCCCAGCCTGGCACAACATGCCCCTCCTAGGGTTTTTGGCACCATCTCAAAAGGCACAGCTCAGCTGCAGATCAAAACCTCTGCAGGAACAGCACTGCTGTGTCCACACTGTGGCTGGAACGTGACCCCAGTGCCCTGCTCTGACCTTCCTGCCCTCTCCCACAGAGGTGGAATAGCCCTTCTGAGTCTGGCCCTGAGCACCCTGAGTCCACAGCACAGCCCACTGCACTGGGACCTGCTGGGGAGGAGTGGAGGGAAGCATGCCAGGCCCCATCCAGAACACATTCCCCATCCAGAACATGGATCCCCCACACCCCTTCCTGCAGCACTTCTCTCGAGGGAATTCCACGTGGAGCAGGATGCCCTCCCTGCTCCAGTGAGGGGTCACTGAGCAGGGCAACACAGATGCAGCTCCCAGGCTGAGCACAACCCCAGCTGGGCCAGTTAACACCTCTCCATTCAAGTCCACTTTTTGAAGGAGGACCAAGAGACACATGGGCTGACACCCCTGATTGTATCTGTGCAAGGCAGGGCCCGGGGAGCCAGGGCTTGTGCAGTTTTACACGTATGCAGAACTTCTCAGCCCCAAACCCACAGTGCCTCCCCAGCCCTTCCCCCCGTTATCCAGAGCTGTGTTGGGAGCAGGTCTTCATCCTCACAGAGAACTCACAGCCACATCCAGCAAAGGAGCTGGGTCAGGTGTCACCCCATTTCCATGGCCAAGTACTGCCTCAAAGCTGCAGTCACTGGGCAGAGTAACAAGGATGCCAAAGGAAATCTCTGACCAGGGTGCTGTCTGCAAGGTGGCAGCTGTGACCAGCAGGAACAGGCTTCTCCAACCCAAGGAGACTCTGCATGCCCAGGCTTCAGCAGCACATGTTGCACTGTGGGGAGCTGAGCTGTTCTCTAGCCCCCAGCATAAGCAGGTAATTAGATTATCAGCACACGACCAGACACTGCGACCTGGGCCACTAAAGGACAGAGAGGAGCTGAGGACAGCCTTTCTCAGAAGGGCTGTGGTGCCACAGCTCAGCACCTTGCATCCCATCTTCACTGCAGTGGCAAATAGGAAAAAGGCTTTTGACAAATCTGACCTTCTTAGAGATAATTCAGATGGGGCTGAGCAGCAGGAAACAGAAATAATCAGCATAACATTGCCCCCCTCAGACTCTTTTTAATATCACAGCCTCAGCCCATGCTGCTGTCTCTGCAGGAAAACCCAAATCTCCCCAGCCCACAGCACAGCTCCTCTGCCCAGAGGAATTTGGGAGCTTCCCAATATGACTTCTCACCTCTCCACAGGGTGCCAAGACAACACCTTCTGTAGCCTGATTTGTTGGATTAGTGGTTTCCCCCAAACCCAGGGATCCACAGGACCAGCTTTACACTTCTTCAGGGGTTTTAGCTGAGCTCTCAGCCCCTCATCACACAGTCATTTTGGGTGGTACTGGGGGAAGAGGAGTGGGAGCAGGGCTGGTCAGCCCCCTTGTTGGGCCCCTCAGCAATGGGGGAAGGAGGGCACTCCATCCTCCAAAACCCCACCACACTAGGGATTGAACTCTGGTTGTTCCACTGGTACAGGCTCTGACCAAGCCATCCTGCTCAGGTTGAGGCTCAGCAGTGCCAGAGCTGAAGGGGGTCCCTGGTCCCCTCAGCAGGAGCAGTGGGCAAGGGCTAAACACTGTTGTCCCATACCTTCATCTGCAGCCCAGTCCAGACCAGACCTTTGTATCTGTGCCCAAACACAGATGTTGGGCCAGAAAAGGCAGCAGCCAGGGCCAATCACGAGTGCAGATCATAAGGCAACATCACAGTGACAAGGCAGGTCCCAGGTCAAGCCAGGAAGTCAGTCTGACCACCAGGGCTGGGATGGGGCCAGGAGCACCAGCAGGTCCATAGCAAGGGGGCAGGGCTGACACCAAGCCAAGACAACCAGCAGGTGAAGGTCAGGACCAAAGGACCCACAGCCAGGCACCACCGTGCCTGTACTGGAGCCAGCACTCCCCCAGCATAGCAAGAGCCCATGGCCTGGGGCTGAGCTTAAATACACCTTCTGGGCCCATGGGTGTGGGGCAGGTGAGGCTGGTCAGGGCCATTCAGGGTCATTAGTGTTCTCAGGCCTCTGACACTTGCAGTGTCACATCCTGCAAAGCAAAGCTGGGGGATTGTCCCCACCCTTCTCCCACCCTGGTCATGTGGAGCCCTTAAATCTGGCAGACAGGGTTGGTCCATCCCTGATACTGCTCCACCCTTCCTGTAGGTGGCTTTGATAGATGACTTATTTTCATGTCCTGATTTAGGATCTGGAGAGCAGAGCAGTAACTGGTCCCAGCTCAAAGTTGTTGTCTTGGGATGTCCAGATCACACACCTTGAGATGCCAGTGAGGGTCTGGCTGATCCCAAACTGAGGGTCACAATACTCACACATGTTGTTCTGGTCCCAGGACATGTTCACTCCTCAAACAGGGCTCACAGAGCACCAGCAGAAGTATCAACATTTGGGGATATTGCAGGCAGACAGAGAAAGGCAGGTGAAGGGGAGAAGAAGAAGAGGGAGAAGGGGAATTGCCAGGTGCTCCCACCCATCTCTCCAGTGCTGGTTCCTGGCAGAGCTGGTGCTATTGGGGCATTCCCAGGAGGCTGCCTGGCTGCTGTCCCAGCAAAGGTGGCCATAAGCCCCAGGGCAAATTGGCCATGGCCACTGTTCCAGCAAAAAATATTTGAAGAGAAACTGATCTTCACTGTGTCAAGCTGGGAATTTCTGGAGCATCTGGAGATGCTTTAATTTATCTAATCCAGGGCCCTGACCCAATTAATATTCTATAGGATCTCCTGGAACTCTTGTTTTGTTCAGTTCTTGGCTTCAAAGGCTGCAGAAGAAATTGAAAACAGATTATTGGGAATAAAACAGCTTCAGTTTTTAGGCAGCTGTGTCTAGTGAGGTTGGCTTCGTTTCCAGCCATTCCTCGGGCGTAATGCAAGGCTGGCTCTAAAGAGTTTTGCCCCAGTGGCAGCAGAAAGGCTTTGCTGAAAAGCAAAAGGTGACTGTGCAGGAGCAGCCTGGAGCAGAGACAGAACCGGTGGGTCCCGCTCACAACCTCAGCTCCGCGTCGGGATAAACCCGGGAAGGGTTATGCCCCGTGCCCAGGGAAGGGGCACAGGGAGGCACGAGGGGGAACAGGGCGAGGGGTGCGGGCAGGGCAGCCGGGGAGCCCGGGGCAAGGCGTGAAGCCCCGCAACGCCCGGCGAACCCGAGCACAGCGGCCACGAGAGGGAGGCAGAGCCCGTGCGCTGCCGGGAATGAGGGATCGGGGCCGGGAATGCGGGATCGGGAATGCGGGATCGGACCTGTGGAGCCGCGGCCCCCCGGTCCCCCGGCGATGCCGGACGATGGGTCCCGGTTCAGCAGGGCAGCACAAGCCCCGCGGGGAAATCAACTGCTGCCAGTGGTCCCCTAAGGAGATTCACTGCCCTCCGCCCCGAGGATCTTCAGTGCATCTGCTCGGCGTGGCCAGGTGAAGAGGCTGAGCACCTAAACACAAGTTATGGCTAAACTCCTTTCCAAGGGCTGTTTTCTCCTCCTCAAACATCAGTGCTTTGTCCCATTCCATGTTCACACTAAAGACATGGGTTGTGGTGGGACACCTTGCAAGCCACCAGCAGGACCTGTGAAGTCCCTGAAGTTCAGCTCTCATCTGTAAATCCAGGGCAATTATCCCACTGTGCATTACAGAGATTGTCAGACACGAGGCATTAAGCAGAGCAGGAGCTCACAGGGATGGTCTGTCAGTCCCCATGGCTGTATGTCCACCGCCTGTCAATGGTTCTGGCTCAGCCCCAGTTAATGTCATGACAGGTTGCACCAGGTGGGGTCAAGATCCGATTCCCACCTCAGGTTTGGTGCCCAAATGATCCCCAAAAGCACAATCAGGAAGCCCCCAGTGAAGGCCATCATTGTCACACTCTGTGAATCAATGGTCCTCTTGGATACTGCTGACACACCACTGCTGAAGGACCTAAACATCTCTGACAGCAGAGACTGGGAGGGCCAGACACATCTGGCTGGGAATGAGCAGCCGAAAACCTGCAGAAGTATTGTGGGCTACCAGGGGCCAGGGCTATGCCAGGACCAGAAAAGCAGCTAGAGAAGGAGAAGGAAGCATGGGGAGGCTTCTTGTGGAGATGTTTTTAAAATCACATCATGCCAGGTTCAAGTGTGGACTTTTCAGTGATGCACAAGAGAATTGTCTCTGTGATACAAAAGTGGCCCAGACAGTGACTCATGATAGTCCAGTGGCATTTAAACACCTGATTTCCAGCTAACCAAGAACAACCTGAGGTCAACCCAATAGGTTGTCACCCTCTGAAAAAACACTCCTTGCAAAAATCAGCCTTTTGAGGGATGCTGCACAGAGGGTGGCACCTGGGACATAGTGGAGCCGGTCCCCTGGCACTGCCAGCACGCTCCATGTGGCCAGGACAGTGCCAGCAGCACTCCCAGCCAGCACTTGGCTGCCTTGTGGCTTTCCAAGACAGACCAAGAGCCCAGGGCTGCTCACCCACCCCCTTCACCAGCTCGAGAAAGGAACTGGGGGGGGCAGAGGAATGCAAACCAGGCCAGAGGACTCATTCATCCTCCCGCTCCCGCTCCCGGCTTCGGTGCATTCCAGGCAGTCTCACTACAACGCAGCATTCTGTGCGCTGCAATCCACCCCTGCACACGCCTGCCTCTCATCCTCTGCCAGGGCTCGCTCTCCCGAGGCACCTCGAGCTGGGTCTGTAATAAATCAGGCAGCAGCCTCCATCCAAGACACGCACACCCTGGGTTGCTCTGCTGAAAAATGAGCACCGAGCTCTCCATGTGAACACCTGCAGCGGGCAGGCGGCTGTGCTGACCCGGGCTGCGGCACCTCCGCCCCGGTTAAAGGCACCGTGCTGTTCAGACAGTCTCTCCCCGGCCACTTGGCTGTTCTCCAGCATTTTTCTTTTCCCCATACAGGGCTGGGATCTGGCTCCCACACCTCATCCCTCAGGCTCTGGGAGCCCTGCTCTGGCTCCTTGCTGCCAAAGTGAGTTTGAATCCATCAGCCTCGGAATTCAGTGATGGCCACTGCCCTGTAATGAGCTGGTGGGAGATTGGCAGCAAAATCCTCCCAGTGCATCCATGGAGGCTGGGAGGGAGATCTGGGAATGGGCACATGCAGTGTGAGCTGGAGGGATGTGCCACAGGCATCCGGAGAAGCATCTCCGGCAGGATAGGTGGGATTTTTCCCAGGGCTTCTGCTGGCAGATCCAACAGAGCACAGCACTGTCAGCCATGGGAGGAAGAGCAGCAATGCTGCTCAGAGCACACTCATTGCACTGATCCACTTGGGAAAGGCAGGAGACTGACCCGAGCCAGGACACGGGGTGCAGGAGGGTGGCCACCCTCCCAGCCAGAGTGGCCAGTTCCGCAGCAGGGGGGTCAGTGTGTGGTCCCACCACAGCCAGAGGGAGCCCCCAGGGACAGTGGCTGGGGGTGGGGAGTGCACAACCTCAAGCTCCCCACACTACACAGAAGAGCATGGCCCCTCCTGGGGAAACTGGAGCCGAGGCCAAACCCATCTGGCTTTGCTTTGCACACTGCTGAGATCTTTCTTGGGTTTATTTTCATGCAGATCCCCAGAATGCAGAGACAGGCAGGAAAGTGAGAGCTGAAAGCAAACAGGAAAAAGGCAGGTTCTCTTGACTTCTATTTTTAACACTGCAAGCAACATTAGTGTCATTATATTTAGAAAAAAAAATATTCTTTCCAAGTACTAGTCAAGTTGCTAGAAATCAAAAAATAA